TCCTGCCCACGCCTGGTGAGGACACCGTCCGCGTCCGACCCGCGTCCAGGGCTTCGTCAGGGGCCACAGGCAATCTTAATTCTTGTGAGCGTCTCAAAAAGAGAAGCAGTAAGGGAAGGGGAGACCCGAGGATCTCACCGATACCTGTATCTGATATTTGGGTGTCTGTATTCCAAAGCCCTTTCTGAATTGCTTCCAACTTCAGACTCCAATGGGAGTTGTGAGCCCAAAATACTGAAAATATCTTGATGCCAGCCAAAAAGAGGACAGCCTTGGCTGCCCTGAAGCATGGGCTTGTGCCATAAGGGAGGGAAGCGAACAAAGCAAGAACCGGTCCCATGCTCGCCAGTACGAGAAATACGACCCTTAAATAAACATCATCCTGATTTAATTTCCAGCTGGGCTAGAGGAATACAGGGAGTAGATGAAAGTCCTAACCTTCATCTACCGCAAAGAGACAGAAAAGCTTAAAGGATTACTTGTATCGCTTACACATCTCTCTTGCCGAGGAGGCTTACAAGCGGGAGCAGCGATCCCCAGCATCCGAGTACGCGTAGGGAATAATGGGGGCTCAGTGCTGTCCCTGCGCTGGGGACAGCGGGCGGTTGCCGTAAGGTGGGTTTAAATCAAACGCGAGCGTGTGGCTGGTTACCTCTTGGACAATAGACATCCGGAGCCCATCGGTTGCATTCGTAATTATCTGCTGCCTTTTCGCAGGTGAAACACTTAAATCCATGCGGATACGGTGTGGCTGAAAGGAACAGACAATATTCGGTTAACATGAGCCAATTAATCCGGTTCTAGTATGCTTTTCAGAGGCACACAGCAACATTTGTTCTCTTTAGACACATCTTTCTACAAGTATACCTGTCAACTTCATCAGAAGTTGGTCCTGGTTTGTAAAAGCCCTATCACCAAGAGCAATGTGGGGAAGGCACGACCAGATACAAGAAGGACTCAGTTCAGTGTTTGCCTCGTAAAAGTGCCTACCGCTGACTTCAAAGGGAGTTGATGTGAGCAAGGAGTACTTACTCTCTTGGTATCAGAGCTCACACCCAACACCGCTACTTTATCAGTGCTGATAATAAAATATCAGATGGATTAAAACACTTCTGGAAACTGTCCCACCGAGGAAACAAGCTACCCCTTTTGAAGGCAGGCTGATGTTCCCAAAGGAAAGAAAAATCAATCTGCTGAGCCTCCAGTTTCTAACAGCAGACTCCGTCCTAATTTATCTCGCCAAACGAAGAGCGTAACTTCTTAAGTGGTCCCCTGGCAGGGCTTCTGTAGCACATTCAATACACCTTCAGGATGCTGCCACCTTCTCAGAAGCCAAATGGTGAACGGGTCACGTTTTTCTCCACGGGGCGAAGCAAGCCGAACCTCCATAAGTCTCAACTCTCCCTCCTCTTCGCCTCCCCGCCTTGCCCACCAGCTCCAGGCCAGACTATGTTTAGGCAGCGGCATCCACTGCCTGTTTCCCCAGGCTCCTCTGGGTGCGGGTCAGCGAGTCACCTGGGAGCATCTCTGGTGGGGCTGGTGCTGTCCTCAAGGAACAGCTTGGGGTGGGCCGACACAACAGCACTAATCAAATTCACCCCTTTCACCCTGGAGCTCTGGAAGGTCGTGGTTACAGCATAGAACAGGGATTTCATCTTGCTAGTACAGAATATAAATTTTTCAGCCAAATTCGGAACAGCGGTGAGTTTTCTCTGGGAATAGATGGCGGGCACGGCTCTGCAGGTGCTCTCTTCTAGAATTAAATAAGTTTATCTCTGATGAAGTGAACAGACTAGTGAAAGGAGAGTCCGTGGAAGATCTGAAGATGCATGACATCACTGCTATAGCACTGCTCCGGGGAGTTACGGAAACGAAGTCAGGAGCGGTTGGTGCCACAGCTGCAAATGGTTAAATGGTCCCACGGCTGCAGAGGTTTGATTTTGGCCCTTGCCCACAGCTGCCGATGCGCTCGGGCAAACCTGTGGCCGTGGGGCTTGGCCTGAGGGCCAGGGGAGCAGAAAATAGAGAATGAAAAGCCCCCGACGCACTCGGCAACCACCTGTGACACTATCTGTCCTTGAATCCCTCTGGGAAGCCACAGTCTGGTTTTATATCAAGTAATTTTACTGTGGCCGTGGGGCTTGGCCTGAGGGCCAGGGGAGCAGAAAATAGAGAATGAAAAGCCCCCGACGCACTCGGCAACCACCTGTGACACTATCTGTCCTTGAATCCCTCTGGGAAGCCACAGTCTGGTTTTATATCAAGTAATTTTATGAGTACTGGGGATGTTTATTTAAGCTCTGCTGAGCACTCGGCTCAACCCCGACGTTTCTGCTGCCTTAACGCACATTCGCCCTCATCCTTACCCCCACGCCGCAGCCGCCCGTGGCTTTGCAGCCCTCGCGAAGGTGGCTTACTGGAAGGGTGGAGGTAGACGATGTCCTTCACGGTGAAGTCCCTGGGCTGCACGGCTGGCAGGCAGCTGGCCAGCAGGCTGAGCAGC